GTAATGCTAATGATACCCACTCAATTTCATTGATAATGATGCTCTTACTATCTAATCTATCGGTGCTTTTTTTTTGGTTCGAGAATAATGCTACCAAACTAAAACCAAAATTTTGTTTGGAATATGGTTTTGTAATTTTTGATAAATCAATGATTCCACCATGTTTTGAAAATATATAATGAAGTTTTGCTGTTTTTTGCTTATAAGAAAGCACTATCTATCCTCACCGTCGTGCCTAGAATTCTATGAGCCCGAGGCGAATTTAAAAATAATTTTTTTTACATATGATTTTTTAACCACAAATATAATTTAATTTTAGATGATTGTTAGAATGTCAATAAAAAGTTAATGAGATAAAAATAAACTTTTATTTTAGCATCAAAATGGCTTTGAATTTGGGATGACAGTATCAAAATTTGTTTTTACCATATTTTTATCATTATACTATAATTAATCTTTAAAATATGGATCTCTAAATTATACAAAATTATCAATAGAGTATCAATAAAAAAACGTTCGTCTCGGCCCGGAAGAGACGAACGCCACAAAGGAGGCACGACCTTGTCTATCCTCAACCCAAATTGAAATTATTGTAATCAAGTCTACGTACGGTAGTATTGGTTTTTACTATAGTAAAATACAGTTAGAAATATATAGTAAAAGCCAATACAATATTGTACTAAAATACATTTGAGACTTCAATCAGAGAAAAGACTACCATGAAAGATCTTGATCTAGCTTATGAATTTCATATGGACAAGCTGCTTTGAGAAGCTCTCTTTAGGTGTGTTCTCTTCTCAATGCTTTTAATAATATTTTCCATCCTCGGTGAAAGATAGATTAGACCATTTCCATGGGTATTACTCCATTAAAGGTTCTTAACAATATTTATAATATTAATTTTGCATCATTTCAAGCTAAGAATTTCATTAGGAGTTTGTAAAAAAAAATTCTCTCCATTGATAAGAACCCGTTACGGGTTCTTAAGAATAAAAAATTTATATTTTTAAAATTATTCTATTTTAAGTATAATATATTTTGTTAAAATTTATAAACATATTACATTTTATAAAATCTAAATTATATTGCATTTCATGAAAACTTTGGAGATAATCGAAAAGCCGATCTACAAATCCACGACAGAGTTTGTTGAGCGAGACATCACTTTCCCCTGTTAATATAGAAATGGACTGTGTTTAATCTTCTTGTTCAAGTGACAAAACCAAAACCAAAGATTTTAAATGACAACCTATGACCTATTATATGTATATCTCAAATACAAGTCTATCAAATGGGTTGTCTTTGGTCAGAAACAGAGAATGCTCTG